AAGAGAATACTGAAGAGAAGAGAAGAGAAGAAAAGTGAAAAGAAATGAAGCAAAGAAATGAGAATAAAAGCGCACTGAATAGTAGCAGCAACAGCAGCACTCAAGAATGGTGAGAAGCTTACACTTCTTTCGTGTTTACGCCACTTCCTGCGTGCTTTATTACTGAACGGAGCACGGAAAAAACTGTTTTATTTCGATTGTCTGGTTATGGTCACCCTGTGCCCGGAAGTAAATTATATCAGTACTTATCAGGTCAAAAACAAGATGGCGGACGGTTCGACAAGAAAAACAAGATCAGTCATCTTCTTCGACCTTCCATGGGAGGATATCATTTTTCCTCATATCTTTAACACGTTAAGCTTGACTCAGATATCTTCTTGTCGCCGTGTGTGTAAAACTTTTAAAGATCTGTGCGATAGTTTCTTCAAAACATGTAAAGTTTTGGACTGCTTCGAAGCAAAGGATCGACTAACTTCAAAGGCGTTTGACTTCATCACACTAGAAAATACAAGTCTCCAACGCCTAATATTAAAAGATTGCAAGAATTTTGTACGCGAGGAATCGTTAATCAAAGTACTTAAACGAAATTCGAAGCTTATAAGCTTATATTTGAGCGGATTGTCCTGTCTTACCAACCTTATTCTTTTTACAATCGGTGAACATTGTAAAAATTTGAGGGCGATATCGCTGTCTGAATGTCGCTGGGTGTCTTCTGATGGAGTCGTTAACCTTTCTCTCTGCTGCACAGATCTTGAGTTTATCGACTTGACTGGATGTTGGGAAGTAACAGATTATTGCATAACATCTCTTGCATCGTTTTGCAATAAGCTAGACTATATTTCACTCAATGGATGCTATAGCATTAGTGATAATGGTTTGAGAGCAATTTCAAGGTCCTGCCCAAAATTAGTCTTCCTCGGCCTTAAGGGCTGCTGGAGAATCACAGACGATGCAATCAGATCTATAGGTGAATATTGTGTGGCACTTGAAGCTTTGGAAGTCAATGATTGCAGGGATGTGACTGAGGCAAGCCTCGCAAGGCTTAGATTAAAGGGTGTTGAGATTGATGTTCAGAAGCCAGGAAGGCGAGGCGTTCCTTTCTTGCCTTTACATAATATGCGCCTGGCAGATCCTGCGTTTCCACATATGCCTGTAGTTAACTTGAATATATAAATCGTGAGTTCAAGCTGGTCTATGGTACTGTTTGATAGATTAAGAGAATGGCAACTGTCTTTCCCTGTACTTTCCAAACAAGATTTAAGCAGTGATGGATCCAGTGGGAGGGTCCCAGTTCATTTGCTTGACAGGTTTGAAGTAAATTTTGTATGAAGCATACTTTTGGACTCCCTCTCAACGTTTTAACCCCCTGCCCCCATCTCAAAAATTCCTGGATCCACCCTTGATTGAATCGCGTACCTACTAATGAGTATCTACCTCCACACTTATCTCATATACCACCATTGGCACCCTCCATTAATTCAGAGAGAAACATTTATCCCTGATTGCTCTTACCCATCACAAACAACATCACCATGCAGCCTAGAGAATCCTTAATCATGATGAGAGGTTCCATGCTGGCTTAGCCTCCTTTTTTTCTGCCTTTTTTTTTGCAGAGAGGGAGAAAAAAAGAAGCCTCTGTCCCAACCTGTTTTGATCTAACCTTCATTCATGGTTGTGGACCAAAAATCCGTTTTTTCTAATTGGACACATCTGTGCATGACAACAGAAAAGTCGGCTGTAAGATTTCCGAGTTCACAAACTCGTGAGCGTATACTTTTTCGATACTGCTGACTGTATTAATGAGCACACTAATGTCATCAGTTGCCTCTAGTAACACTCACGCATGTGCAACAAAAAAAGTGATGGTTGTGGGCAGAGTCTCCTTTTCCTTGCGAATGTGGATTCAGCAAAAGAAACAGAAAAGGAGACTCTGTCAGCAGGGAAGATGAGACAATGGCAAGCAAAACATCTGCTGCTACAGAGCTTTCAATAATATTTGTAGTAGGCGGTTAGTCCTAAAAAGTAGGGGGATGAAGCCACTGGTGTTTGTATGTAACTTTATTTGGCAATGGATTATTTTTTTGTCAAAATAGCCTGCAGTTTAAGGTGAAGTATCCAGCGATGAACCACCGGTATCCGCCTTTTATTGAAAGCTCTGCTGCTATGACTTTGTCTCTCAACACTATCTACAGTGGTCACACTACTACACATGTACGAGAAATCATATATTGATTAGCATATTCACTTTGGTTCAAAGCTGCAAAGGTCAGTTGTTGTTCCAATGCACTTTCATATTTTGGTCCTGTAATCCCCTCCCCCCCAACCTGTGGTTACTCTTTTTGGTTTTCTTTATTCCCACCCCACCTTCCATTTACCTATTCATTTCTCAATCAGTTGTACTGCAGTGGGACCACCATAAATAGAATTCACAATTCAGCATTGACTTCATTGTCAATGAGCCCAAAAAGAAAAAAAAAACAACAACAAAAAACAGCAATTGTAAAAACAACATAATTTTGGTTACTTTCTCAAATAGCACCGTGGGCTTATATTTAATATTTTTGGGCTTCCTTTATATTATGTACCAGTTTTACCAGTAGCATAAAGAGAGTACCAGCATGTATGGTGCAAAAATAGACCTATTTACTGATATGGTGGCCATCTTGAATTATGGGATGCAGAGGGGGCAAACACAGAGAACATTTATGAAGCAGAGTGGCGGGGTAGGTTTTCAAATAATTTGAAGTCTTTGCATATTGTCCCAACTACCAACAATTTCAAAGCTTTTAGGATGTGCTTCTCATTGAAGCGTGTAAAGGTATGCAAGAAGACAGCTGACGACAGCTGTGCAGTTTCTAAATTTTTAAATAGTTGCCCCCTGCTCGGCATCAAATGTCTTGATAATAACGATAGAACTTAAGATGGCTGCCATATAGGCACACAACAAAATAGGAAAATTCACTAGCACAATGAGAAAGGTGCGCTGCTTTGCTCAAATCACGTACTAGTAACAGGGTTACAAAGGTAAACTTAACTGATGTTTTGAAGTCTGTTAAGTCCTTTGTCAGAGTAAAGAATCACTTTTACTTTTAAACAAGTGTAATTCAAATAATAAGAGTTTTTTCTCGTCACATTTGTAGGACTATTTACAATACTCTATATTGTACATTTTAGTAGTTGTGCACAGTTTATAATAAAACTTCCATGATAATTATACTAATTTGAAATTAACTGTTTCTTTTAGCAGTTGCAACTTGTCTACTTTATAATACTGGGCCTAATATCCATCTGGATGGCATACTATTTGATGCTTTTTTCATTCTTATGTATTGATCATTGATCCATACCCAGCCTTTACAAGACTTGCCTTTGTATTTGTGACAACAACAACAACATCGATACCCAGAACAACCTCTGGGCTGATCCAAGTCAGTGCAAACCCTGAAACAACCTCTGGGCTGATCTAAGTCAGGGCATGGCTAACTCACAGATCAAACCCTGAAACAACCTCTGGGCTGATCTAAGTTAGGGCATGGCTAACTCACAGATTGAACCCTTAAACAACCTCTGGGCTGATCTAAGTCAGGGCATGGCTAACTCACAGATTTAACCCTGAAACAACCTCTGGGCTGATCTAAGTCAGGGTATGGCTAACTCACAGATAGAACCCTGAAACAACCTCTGGGCTGATCTAAGTCAGGGCATGGCTAACTCACAGATCATACTCTGAAACAACCTCTGGGCTGATCTAAGTCAGGGCATGGCTAACTCACAGATCAAATCCTGAAACAACCTCTGGGTAGGTGTAAGAATGATTATAAGCCTGTGGTTTGTGACTGGGATTTTACAGAACATATAACAACCAGGTTTATAATTGTCAAGGTAAGTTTTTTTCTGGATTACTGTGCGACTACACCAACCAAGGCCACCCAGACAAATGATCATAAAAGTTAGCCAATCATGATTTAGTATGTAAACAATAGAATCTCTCTGTACAAATTTTCACATTTTCCTCTTTAAAGTCATATATTTTACTTTATACGAGTGCGTGTATGATAAGAAGTGAACAAGAAACAGTTTAAAATCCAAAATTCACTCATTCACCTGTTATGCAGCGTTAAAAATGTGATTTGTGAGTTTGACTTGAAATTTGTTTGGGAGGCCTTGGTTGATGTAGTGGCACTGTATATATATTAACACATTCATCATTTAAAGTTGAATGGTTAACCTGCAAATGAGCTGCATTAAGGGTAGGTCAGTTTTTTACTTGAGAGGGAGGGGACTGGGGTTTAACAAGGGGTTTGCAAAAAAAAAATTGACCTTGTGGAGGGTCCAACCTAATTGACAAAAGCTAGAGGAGGCTTGACTTTATAGGAGGGTCAAGAATTTCTTACTGAGTCAYGGAAGGCAGTACTACAACGTACCATTTACTTAAAACTGGATCTCCCCACTCAATAAAGGATAGGCCTCAGTTTAAACAGCCAAGAAGTAGGTGGAATAAAAGCTAGTCAGCAAAATGTTGAATTGAAATCAAATTTGTTTTATAGTTAGTTCACATGTTTTTTAGTTATCCAGTAACATATATCATTTAAAATTATCTGTTTTATCCCATACTAATATAGAACATACAGACAAACAGAAAGTCTGTAGTTTGTCAGTATTGCATTCATTCTTCCCATCATGTGCTGGAGTTTTATATGGTATGGGATAGAACAGTTCTTGATACTTTCTGATCTCACACCAATGGAATATTCTCATTAGCCTTGTATTTTCTAAGTTATATACACGCACCCGACCAAAGACTTGTGTACCCAGGGTGCCTCTATCCATCATATGCCACTTCAAGGTAAAGTCTTGTTTACAGTCAATTCAAAAAATGTTGTCGTCGACCAACTCAAGCCTACGCGACTGGACCGAAAGGAATTCTGGGTAGCAATCATTGAAGCCGAGTTGACTCCATAATTTTATCTGACTAGATATGCCTGGTTTACAGCACGAACCTTCATAGGCGAGCGGGAAGTGTTGAAGGACACGTTTTCTTAATGCCTTCAAATTTTCGAAATTCATGTGAACTGAATCATAACTACTAAAGACATACATTTGATGGATTGTTTCTCGCCATTATTATCTTATTACTAGCGGGAACAATCAATTCAGAACGAATATTTAAACCCTTCAGTGATTTTTACCCATATTCCTTTCGGTCTAGTCGCGTAGGCTTGAGACGATCGACGACAACGTTTTTCAAATTGTCCGTATCTAAAGTGACTCTTAGGATAACATACAGTTTATTGTATGCTACACAGGCCTGATGGCTTGTGCACCCAAAGAAATTATTCAAATGCCTTAATTGTGGTATATTTCACAGCATGCCACCCAATTCAAAGCCATTACATAACTAGTAATGCCCAAGCTTTTCTCTTTTTAAAATGGACCTCTTTACCTTGGGTGTACTTTTTTCCCATTTCAAGCAACACTTCATTCCTTGGAGTATTGCTTCTTTGTTTAACAGCTGTGCGTGAAGAGAATGAGTGGCAAAATAGTAGCATGCAGTCATTATACCCAAGGTCTAGTCCACAGCTTGTATATCAATTAACATACAGTAATATCATGGTCTCCAGCAAATTAAAAATTGAAAAGGCTAAAGGTTGTACAAGTAACCTTTCCATTGCTTACCAATCACATGACTGTGTGTAATCGTAAAATTTGTTGTCATGACAATGTTAATAAGGTTCTGGTGGACCTTGATGAAAACGTTTCCACGAAATGGTACATTGTAGAAAAACAACTCTTTCAAGGTGACATGCTTATGGAATGTTGTGGAAATTAACATGATCCATTAAAACCAGCTTCGTCACAACAGCAAATTGTGTTGATTTCACGTGTGAGATTCAAAAGTCGCTATTGTTATTCAATATTGTATCAAGCAAGAATCTCCAGGGACCCTCCCTCTTTTAAGTCTGTACAGTTTTAGGCACAGTGATATGTAAATCACCCACAATGTTCATCATACCACGCAAGATGAAGACAGATGCATGGCTGTACCTTACCCTCCCTGTCCTCAGTCCTTGGACACACACTGCAATTTTTTTGTTACATCAAATCTGAAATCATTGCATTTCCAGGTTGTAAACTAAATTGCACTGTGTACTGATGTGACTTGCATTTCCACTTAAATAATACTTTACATATCTAGTTAATATGGATAAGGTTATTTTTCTAAGAACAATAGAATTTTGATGTCATCTAACTGTAGAAAGCCGTTTATTGCTTGATGACAAATTTTCCTGAAAAAAAGGAAAAGACATAAATGATCAATAGAAGAAAAAGGAAAAAATAAATGAAAGGAAAATGAGACAAATTTATCTAACTTTTACAGCATAAGCCTCAATTCCACTAGATTTCCAATGTATGTTGGAGGACTAAAGGACTGCTTACAGTCAAACTACCTCAAGCGCGAACACGTAGAGTTCATTAATGACTTTATTTTTGGATTCTTGATTTCATTATTCGATTCGAAGATTCATCAATGAAAACGAATCTTCAAAGCCTGGCATATACAAAAGCCAAGCATATATGCAACTGAAATGCAAAAACAACTTTTTGTGCAAGGAATATGTAATATTAATGACTTACCTTCTGTTTGCGCTATAAACAAGAGCCTACGAGCCAAGTTAATCAAATTATTATTTTTTTTTGAATATTGAAGATTCGTTTTCATTAATGAATCTTCGAATCGAAAAATGAAATCAAGAATCCAAAAATAAAGTCATTAATGACCTCTACGTGTTCACGCTTGAGGTAGTTTGACTGTAAAGAGCAGTCAGTTGGAGGGCCGTATGTCAGGAAACTGTGTTAGGCTAAAAGCATTTCCTTCTTGAAATAAAGTTAATGTCTTGTATTCTATCAGTATTGGTTCTTAAATCCACTGCAAAGTTTACACTCCTGGAGTGGTTGGTTTGATTGTGCCCTCATGGTTAATGTAGACAAGCATGGACACAGGGGATGGTATTACATGGGGATGTTTAAAGTGAATGATATAAGGTTAGAAGTATCCTTATATGAGAAAAGAACAAAAAACTCACATGGAACATCAGACCTGAGCTGCAGATTATATACAGCTATTTCAAAAACGTTTGGTGAAGGTTTTGTTGCATGTTGCTAAGCTTGCAACGCATTTTGTATGTAAATAATGTCAGCACAGGATAAATTATGCCACAAAAATGTGAAGACAAAGTTTAGGAAAATTTCATATCATGTGACCTTTCAAGGATGGAAATCACTGCACATTTATAGTGCAGTTGACCTTGGTATGCAACATGAAATGTGCAAGATTCAACAACACTTTCACCAACCTTTTTTTAAAACAGCTGTTATAATATACAATTGAATGTGATGTCATTTGATCAAATTTGGTCATGTGTCAGGGTTCCCAGCCATTTTGAAAATAAAAATTCCCTGACTTTTCCCTGACTTTTCTCCTGACTAAATAACAGTTTTCACGGACCTTGTTGAGCCGCATGGGCAAGCATGGGCCACATGCCTAAGCTTTACCTAGGCCCCGCTCTTATCATATTACACAGGATACCCAATGTAATTAAACTGTCCAGCATAAACAGTACTAAATACTTCAATATTTTTCTCATTATTTGAAAACATTTATCAGTCTATTCAAAAATTGCAAACAGTATGAGTATCACACGGATACTGATGGTTAACTTTAAACAAAATTCCCTGACTTTTCCCTGACCCCTGGGAACCCTGTGTTTTGTGGGTGAATAGACCTTTATCATGTAGCAGCAATATTTATTCTCGCAAGAATTAAAGCCTAGTTTGTTTGTTGCCGCAAGGCTTGACATTCAAATATTAAAAAAAAAAAAAAAAAAAAAAAAAAAAAAAAAAAAAAAAAAAAAAAAAATTGAAAAAAATACATATTTTACAAGTTGTGAAATATCAGCCCTTCATAGACCAAATCGAAATATGGTGACCAATTTGAATAACTGTTGTTCTGGACTGACTGGCGCCTGACTAGCCTCTCGTTTCATACATGAGAAACCTCTTATTTTTACATTGAACATGAGGCTTGTCAGTCGCTAGTCAAGTGCAGAACAATAGTTATTCAAATTGCCCACCATATTAATTACCCTATTTCATTATGGCATCACTGCTTGTTTATCTGTTTGATAGAATCGCTAAATCCAATAGAAAATTCAACAAAATCTGCTCCTAGTGAAACAGTTTAATCTAAAATGGCCTGGTTTTCAGATATAATATGTGTTAATATGTACTAAAAAGTATTCTGAGCGTTTGCTGGCTATTCTACTTCTCTTCGTGGATTGATAGGAGTTTTCGGTGAATTTGCGTTGATTTGACCCCTTACAATGACCATGATCCTTTGCGTTTAAACATTACATTGTTTTGATGTGACGTCATAGTGAAATAGGACAATTGATTTGGTGTATACCTAAGAAAATATCTAATAAGTAATTGTATGTATTGATTACCAGTTTCCATTGAAGCATTTTAATCCATTCCTCTGCTTCCTGGGAAGAGTTTGCAAAGCAGTAGAATGTCCTGCTTGGCATCACAATCCTAAACAAGCAATTCTAAATATTTTAGACAACATATTGCATGATGTCCTCCAGGCTCAAATATCTCAACTAATCTCTATTCTCAGTCTGTATTGTCATATGCACAAATAATATGAATAGAAATTAGTGTAATTTTCCTTATCACTTTATTATAAATATTTATTATACATTTATATTATAT